GGACTGGTGATCACAGGGAGGGAGAGGCAGCCGAAGCATCTGCATTTGCATTTTAACTTCCTACCTTGTAAACTATGTGACAATGGTATGCTGACAGTGTTAATGCTCTGTGCTACACACATGCTGAAGACATGGGTAGATTGCCTTAAGTTTCACTAAATGCTCTCAGTAAGCGCTCATGGTCTGTAAAGACAGTGAAAGGGCAGCCATACAGGTGCTGATGAAAACACTTTACAGCAAAGACTACTACTAATCCTTCCTTCTATAGCTGTGAATAGCCCTTTTCCGCTGCTGTAAGGGTACGTGACATACCCCACGTCAGGGGTGTCCAACTCCAGGTCTCAAGGGCCGGTGTCCTGCAGGGTTTAGATCTCACCCTGGGTCAACACACCTGAATCAAATGATAAGTTCATTAGGTGAACTTCAAGACTTATTGAGGAGGTCATTTAGCCGTTTAAATCAGCTGTGTTGGATCAAGGACACATCTAAAACCTGCAGGACACCGGCCCTCGAGGCCTGGATGCTTTTCTGCCCCTTTGTCCATGCAGTGTGAAAGAACAGCTTCTACACCATACAGAGAGGCATCGCAGGACATGATAACACACTTCTGTGGATCAAAATGCACGAGGAGTGGTGCAGAGCGTAACGGTTGCGTTACCTGCTGGAATGCCTTCTTATGAGCTTGGTACCACCTCCAAGGACTGTCTGTGCAGTAACCCATAGAGCGGTTGAGCACGGCGGAGAGGTCAGGCAAAAACTACATTTGACCAAACAGGGACACTTTGTTTTCTGCGCTAACCTGTTATTTCTCAGATATCAGCCAATTTGCTGGCAGATGCAATAATAATAATAATAATAATAATAATAATAATAATGATGATGATAATCTCTCTTCTCGTTACTTCTTATCGAGAAGAGAGAAAGACCTAACTCATGGAGAGGACACGCACAAAGACTAAGCTCACTGGGAGGAGCTTGATGACAAAGTGTAGAAAAGAACATGCCTGACAGTGGTCAATTTCGACATTGACGTTTTTTTTGATAAAGTTTCTTTTAAATTGCAATGTATGCTCATAATACAGCTGATACACTCCTCATTAAAAGGATGCAAGCATAAACCCCACGGTGTGAAGGGTTAACTAAGACGGATAGAAAGAGCTGAGTGTTGATGGTAAACACTTACAGAACACAGTATCAGACAGGAAGGGCTGATTGGCCTTGGGTGTATGATAACAGGGTGCTGTAGTCAACAAGAAATAGAAACTTCCTTGTGTAATTTGAAGCTGACTTTAGCATGAAAATAAGATGTCTGATCCCTGACTGGAAGTTAATAACTGTTGCCATGAGAAAAGACCCTGAGGAGAATAAATCAGGGGGCACTAAGTGTTAACCACCGCATCTCCCCATCAATAGCCAATCACAATTATTTCCTGTTTTCATGTGTCTAATATATACTTGGAATTATGAATTGTATTTCATTCTCCGTGTGCAGACTGCCTGACACTGAGAAGTCCACAGCTGTGCAAGAAAAATCTTTAACTGCCTGATAATAAAATAGTGTGAACTGCTAGACTGTCTTCTGAACTTCTCTTAGTGAAACAGAACGCAACAGTGACAACATCCTTTGATCCTTTGACAACATCCTTTGATGCACACGAACGACTCCTTTACACAAACCCAGAGCCTGGACTTATAGATCATAAGCTCCCATTACATTGAAAAAAAGACAAGCCTTCTCTGTTGCATGAGCTGAGACAAAAAGGAGAAACAACTGAGACCAGTTGTGTATCATTTTGCCTTGAAATAGGTACAAATCATAACCATATGAATGGGTCAGTAACAGTAACACCACGTGAAACATTTTAATTTGATTCATATGCTTTGTATGAGCTAAAAATGCAGCACAGGGCAAGTGAGAGAGGAAACTTTATTTACAGCAACACAAACCAGTCATATCAGGAGCATGACGCAATCAACTCTACTCTCATAATTTAAAAGTTTATGTTGCAAAGGGAAGAAAAGTACATTAAGCAGTAATTGTGAGTAAACTGGAACTGAAATAAATCATTACAAGATGCAGTGGGTATTCACTAAATGTAAACCAATCGAGCATATTTGATTTAATAACCCTTCATTAAGGTGTTTATTTGATTTGGATGGATTCTATTAAAAGTAAATGTGTAGAAGTTGCGTGTGTCTGGAGTTGATGGCAGTTTTTTGCTCTTTTGTGTTGTTCATCTTGATAGACGTCCTTCTGGGCAGATGAGGAGATGAGATAATGGTTCAGTGGCGAGCCTGTGTGTGAT